TGGCATGTGTCTCATGGATCTAGTCAAGTATGCAAAAGTTGATCCGGACATCACGTTCCGACATAAAAATTGAATGACAAATATTTTATAACAAGTTGATACATACTTTGCAATAATAAAGTTCAAATTGCATGTGAACAACGTACTAATTATGTCAATAATATATATGCAAAAAATAATTATTACAAAATGACTAACCTTAAAAGACCTTTGGTGAATTGTTTAAAACAGTACTTTATTCCCCACCTCCACTTAAATAGTGTTTAAATACTTAATACAAATACTTAAAGTTGCATTCCAATGGGCTATCACAACCAGGTTAGCAGTTTTGTCGACCAATAGTGATGTCTTTAATAAAAAGAAAAACCACCTATTTAAAGACTTAACTTACGATACATAGCTATAGTCTTAAAATATTACGAAACATAGCTATATTTTGAGTTCAACTGATGATACAATATATATTGATAAATACAACTCGTTCATTAACACATGTAATGTATGTATGATACAATAATTATAACTACGTTTTATAAATATGCACACTATAATTTTGTTTCATAATCATACTTCAAAATCATAACCATTTATAAATTTGTATGTATTATACCTTAGATTATGAAACTGAACGCGTTAGCAATATAATTTATTTTTAAAAAAAAAGACACTAGTTGTAATAAAAAACTGAATTTCACACCCAATTACTAACCTCGTAAAAGGAAAAAGTCGTCTCTTGACTTAGACAAATAGTGACATTAATTTTTGTTATTTTTTAAATAATAAAGTATGTGACCGGCCTTTGGAATTAAAAAAATACACCATGGACATTCCACTTGTGGAAAAAAAAAAGACCATGGACATTGACTCAAAATGGTTTAACTATATATATTCTTATAGTACCATCCATTATTATCAGATTTGAACAAATAAGGAAATATGGTTTCCATTGCAAAGGTATGTAATTCACATATTTTTAAAAAAAAATCCTTATGTATATTACATCTAGGTAGGGATATACAATTTTTCTTGAATTATTATGGGTGTTGTATAGTTTCTTGACGCTAGATATAATGTTATTTCTCAATAATTTCTATTTTAACTATACTAGAGTGTATGTAGATAAACAAAGTCAACATCCAATGTTCTTTCATGCAGTTGAATTTTAGTAAGATGTGATATATATTCATTTTAGTCACAATATATAGTACAATAATACGGGGCAACATCAAAAATGAGAATTTCGATGTGAAACTTCTTCACATTCCCCTCACATCTAGGATGTGAGTAATTTTAATAAGAAAGCCTAACATCAGAGATGTGAGTCTTCTTTACATTCCCTCACGTTCAAGACTGGACATCTGAAGCATGAACAATTTAATATGAAGATTCAACATCTATAATGAGAATTGAGAAGATTCTTACTCTAATACCATATTATGAATACTGAATCTATCTTAATTGTTTAGGCTATATAAAGAGACAACTCATCTCATTAACTATCGATGTGAAACTACTTTACATTTTTATTTTTAAAATGAATTAGCTAATGACAATTTAATTTCTCTCTACACAGATTTTTATTTCCCTTGTCTTCTTTTTTGGAATGGGTGTAATTGGTCATGTTTATGAAGAAGAAGAATATCATACTAAGGATCCTAGAGAAGAAGTCATAGAAGCATGGTACATGGATGATAGTGATGATGATCAAAGGTTTCCTCATTATCGCGAACCAAAGAAATTTGTGTCTCTTGACAAGCTCGCTGGTAAATATACATTATTTCCCTTGTTTCAATTTATATGATATTTATTTTTTTAGTCTTATAGTAAAAAACGAATGCTAGCTTTTTGAAATTTACTATGTACATGACATTTTCAGAACTTGGAGTGCTTAGCTGGAGACTTGATGCTAACAAATATGAGAATGATGAGGAATTGAATAAAATTCGAGAAACACGTAGTTATCTTTACATGGTATATTGATTTTTTTTTACATATAATATATTTATATATATGGAATAAACTTTGTCTATTCTCCAATGAGATCTCTTTTTGTTCAATCAACTCGAATATTGTTGATTGATGAAAAAGATCACTTTTTTTCTAGAGTGGAACTCTGGAAAAAGCTTTTTGTTTTCAAATTTCATAATGAAATATGATCACACGTTCACATATATTATTTTTTCAGGACAGTATTGAGGTTTGCCCCGAAAAATTATCGAATTATGAGGGTATGATAAAAAAATTCTTTGAAGAACATTTGCACATTGACGAGGAAGTCCGTTACTGTCTTGAAGGAAGTGGTACTGTTAGATTTCATTGAATATTGGATATTATTTGCAAATTAATTAATGTGCCATATGTAATATAATAATACATATACTCTTGCTGAGGAAATTAAAATATATATTTTATAAGATAGAATTTATACTACTAGACAGAGTGTTTTACGGTCTTTTAAATTAAAATATGTACTCTTTTGTTGTAGGTTATTTTGATGTTCGAGATTATAACGATGTTTGGATTCGTATTTGGGTGAAGAAAGGTGGATTGATTGTTGTGCCTGCTGGAATTTATCATCGCTTTACACTAGATTCAAGCAATTACATTAAGGTGGGTTCAATTAATTGTCTATGGTATATTTTCAAATTCTATAAACGTAACAATTTTAGTAAAAAAAATATGACAGTTCAATGCATTAAGCTTTTGCTATGCGTGAGATTCAGGAATGGACCACGAGGGTTTACTTATTATATTCTAGTATTACAATTCTAGTACTTTCTTGAATGTTCTTATATGAATTTCTGATTCCGCTACTGATTAATTTTTGTAGGCAATACGGTTGTTTGTTGGTGACCCTGTTTGGACTGCGTACTATCGTCCATATGCAGATAATCTCCCTGCAAGGTCTATTTTTAATACACACAACCCTTTTATTTTTTATTTTGCAATAATTGAAAATGGTGTTGTGCATTAATTAACACTAAGAATTAATTTTTATTTGCAGGAAACAATATGTTGAAATTTTTGGATTAAGGGAAAACACTGCTCATCATGCAATTAATGATAGTGTTATTCGTAGAGTTGACGAATTTTAAACATTCTTAGGCCGTATTTAACTTACCTCAGTTTTTGCTTAATATTTAAATTATAACATGTGAATAATGGTAAATATTAAAGTTGTTTACCTGTTGAGTGAAATATTCAATGATATTTGCATTCATAGTAGGTTGTATGAGTATAGCATTAATACTTAGAGACGATCTTATTAAACTTTTTTTTTATTTTTCTCTACTTTAATTTGGCTGATCGAATCAAATATATATACTCTACTATTATTCATCAAAAGTATATATTTTATGTATACCCTACATCAATATATAAGAAAATATCTTTTTTAATTATTATTTTAATGAACGATTATTTATTTTTATTTCCTTTTAAAAAAAGGTACTAGAAAGAATACATCCACTTGATTTGTTTTTTTTTTTTTTCTTGTTTAGTGATACTTTGATTTATGAATGGGCGATATAATATGATAATATAATGGGCCAATGTTAGCTAGCTCTTGGGCTTATGGCCTCTAAAAGTTCATGGATTGAAGCGTTATTTTGGAAGAAAAAAATGTGTTGGAACAAATTTTTATGCTCGCTAAACGAAATTTACTAAAAAATTGCATGTGTTGTTTGATTGATCGACATGTTCTTGATTGTTATCGTATGCAACGTAATGAATGAGTTTATCATGTTGAATATTTGAAATCAAAAGCCAAATTGAATTAAGTTACAATCATGAAGAATTACAACTCATTGTTATAATAATTATTATTAGAACAACATAATCTCATATGTGATAAAAATGGAGATTTTGATAGATTGCAAAGAGAAACATTCAGTTGAAATTGGATTATACAATTGCAATTCAATTTTTCAAAATCAATAAATTTTTATGGAACTTGGACCAAAAAGGAAAAAACTAATTGAATATGAAAGATTTTTCAAACTTAAATTATTCAAGATCTTGAATACATTTCATAAGTTGTTAATGACATAATAATACATCAACAACCCTCAAACCTACTACACATTTGAACTATGACTTATTTCAATTGACCATCTGAACACACATGTTCCTATTAGACTCTATCAATTCAAATTTTTCTTTTTCTTTTGTGTATTCTTAAATTTTCATTACGTATAGAAGCAGAGGCGGATCTATTAAGGGGTTTGGGGGTGCCACGCCACCCCCGAACTTCGACGGAAACTCTATATATACATAGGTATATATATATAATATTTATATTTATATAATGCGTGCCATCCACAGAATAAAATTGGCTTGTGGTGCCACGGTAGGAGGGCAACTTTAGAAGGCTGATGTTGCGGGTTCGAATCCCATTTGTACCTATTTTTTTGAGAAAGACATTTTTTTAAGTAAAAGGAAATTGCTGCACACGTTCTTTTAAGAAAAATTAGAGAACTAAAATTAATTTATATCGAAAAGACGAATAATTTAATCAAATATAAAATTAATTTAATCGATAAGTCTATTTGGCACCCACGGAATCTAAATCCTGGATCCGCCACTGTATAGAAGTCAATCACTTAAAAATATTAGCCTCATTAAGCTTTTTTTTTATAAAAATATTCAATGAAGATCTTAGTACTAATAATATAAAAATTAGATAAAATACTTGTGAGATTTCCAGTATTCCTTTCCTACCTTCCATTTCACACACCAAATGACGAAAACACCCTTACTTTCATCTAACATCAAATTGGTGAATTCATTTAATCTGGACACATCACAATATTACCTAACATTTCACGCACCAAATGACGAAAACACCCCTACTTTCATCTAACCTCAAATTGGTGAATTCAGTTAATCTGGACACATCACAATATTTCGATGAGTAAACAGAAAGGTTAATTTAGTCTTTTCACAAACTATACGTAAGAAAAACGTGAGACCCAGATTTAAGGAGGGTTCTATTATTTTCTCTGTCCTAAATAACTCACATTATAACCTTTTTTTTAGCTCTCTGAAATTGAGAAAAAAATAAGCAAAAACAAAAATGGGTTCCATTGCAAAGGTATGTAATTTTACTAATTTACAATCTTTATATTCTGAATTTGCGTAATTTTCATTAATTTTTTCTTTGTGGGTATTGATTTTTCTTGAATTTTATGGTATTTGTTTTTCCTGGGAAGTAGTTTGATCTGCTTTTGAATTGAATTTTCGTTTTCTATGATAGTTTTAAGTTTTTGGGTGTTGTGTAGTTTTTTATGATGTTTATTAAAGTTCCGATCTTTACTGGGAAATTAGATTTGTTATAAAAGTATATGATTGATTGGTAGCTTGATTTTTGGATTGTGTAAAGGGTTTTGATTGTGTACTGTTTGAATTTTTTGCTTATTTGATACGCATTTATAAATATATTCGTTTTTTGTTTGTGCATACACATAATAAAGGTGGGATTTTGCAAGTGGAGTTGTCTTTCTTTGCTTAATTTTGATTTTTTGGATTCTGTAAAGGGTTTGATCAGTTCTGTTTTCTATTTGGATTTTGTATCATGTTTGATATACCCAACTTACCCTTAGCTAATGATTTTTTAAGTTTCCTTTTTCTATTTTACGATAACATACCTAGTGTAGTCCGACAAAGTGAGTTCTAGAGAGGATAGAGTGTACGCAGACGCAGACGTTACCCCTACCTTAGAGGTTGGTTCTGATAGACCCTTGGCTCAAGGAAAAGCTTTTGTTTTTCCATTTTATGAAATATTTTATGGTATTCAAGTTGTCTGGCTTGCAATTGTTTATTCTGTGGACAAAAAAGTTATAGTTTGCTAGGCATATATTGTGCTTATGGATAGACATAGACGATGTTGCTATTGGGGAAGGAGGTGTTTTCAATGGAGCAAATCTGGAGTTGACGCGACTCAAGGAGTTTAGTTTTTTTGTAATAAATGTGAAATGACCATAGACAAACCAAACGATTACACCTAAACAGCACCTGAAAACTACACCCACTTTCTAGGAAGAGTGATATGATTAAGTAATTACACAAACGTTGAATCAAAAATCCAAACTAATTACTCAAACTTTGAATCAAAAACCGACATTTAACAGCTTTCCTCGACCTCTGTACTCAAGGAGTTTTGTTTAATTGCTAAAAATAAACAGTGTGACTATAGGAAAGTTGAGAACTACTCTTATTATATATTTTATTGTAAAGATAAACAATGTTGACTATAGGAAAGTTGAAAGCTATTCTATTATCTATTTTATTGTTAAAAAAAAAACAATCTTGACTATAGGAAAGTTGAAAAGCATTCTATTTTCTATTTTATTGTACTAGATGGAAGTCATTATGGATCAACAAAGGAGTTCTGGTAAAAGGAGATAGATAAACAAAGCAAAATTAGATGTACTTCCATGAAGAAGTAAATGGAAGTATATCAATTTATGAACGAGCAGGATCTTATAATAAGATGTGGGTGATTAGAAAATTAATCCCAAACTGATTTGTTATTTTTTGCAAATATAGTGGTTTTTTGCAATATCTGTAATGTCCATGAAATCACACTAGTGCATCATGGGGATATTGACTATAAAATTTAAAAATATTATCTATTTTTGGATTGACTTCTATTGCGTTTGTTGCAAACCCCTTTACTGAATATAGACAACTTTTGCTGTGAAAACTGCCTTGCTGAAAGGTGAACCATCCAAGTAAACTGTCGCAACAGACACTAAAAAAATGATACAAGTTCTGGACAAAAGGGGTTCGGAAATTTATGGTTGTACGAGGGTTGGCAGACTAATATTGGCTTCTTGTGGTTCTATTGATGTTTGTATTGCCCTATTACTTGATCATTTGGTTGTTGCCTTGGGTGAAGCTATGGTTTCTTAAAATGATGATCTTCCCTGTCCATACAATAGAGTAGAATGTGAATTTATTGAACTCAAACTGGGGAGGAAGTACTAAATAATCCCCCAGGGCTTAGTTCATGTGGCAAAGGTTGATGAGGGAGTTGTGGCTTATGTCACAAGTTTGAGCCTTAAGCCATGCGAACTAAGCCTGGTATTTAAGTGGAGAAGGTAGAGGGACAGGCCCATTATCCCCGAGTTTCAAGGGCTGCGGTTGGTCCTAAGGATTGGCCCCATAACGCCACTACCTTCCCCTCTCTTTGAGGCATGAATCTGAGGTCTCGTACCGACTAGAGACTCAAACTACAATCAGATGGCCTTGCAGAGTGGAAACATTATGATGATTAATAACTTCAAATGAACTTTCTAGTAGTTAATTTTGCTTCGGCTTTTGTTTGATGCTATTTTTTCTCCGCTAGATGTTTTAGATTTTTCGGATTTGTCACAAAAAGCATACAAGAAGTATAATTTTTAGGCGTCTCTCAAGATGAGAAACCTTGAAGAACCAGAAAGCCTATCTCATATGAAATCTGTCTGAACTTGAATAGAACACTGACGCACAATCTGAAGGACATGATAATTACTTTGCTCAGTAGAAGTAACTGGTTGTGATTTTGCATTTATTCTAATAGAGTTAGCTCCTCTCAAGTTTCGCCAATGAAGAACTTGTAATACTTTTTTACAATAGACACCAACAACGAAAAACAAAATGCATCAAAGCATTCTTAGGCAATCTTATTTTAAATGGAGAACAAAGATTAGTTGAGTTTACGCTCGCCAAATTTTTCCTTGCCTCCTTTTTCTGGTTCAGGGTTAGGGTCGCGAAGCTTAACTGTATACTTTTACTATTACGATGTTACTATCAATACATGTGGTTATACCTTTTGGGCTTTTCATTTAACATGTTAATCATATATGATTGGTTACTTTGTTGGAGTTACTTGCCCATCTACATTTGCAAAGAGAAGAATGATTATAATGCTGTTTTTGAATGAATCCTTACACATAAAAACAAAGTATATAAATATAGATTACCATAAAATTGGTGGGTTGGAGAAGGAAATGGAGAATTATTCACATGCTGTTTTTGTTTTTTCAATTCCTGCAGGATCCAAGAGAGGATGTCATACAGGCATGGTACATGGATGACAGCGATGAGGACCAGAGGCTTCCTCATCACCGTGAGCCAAAGGAATTTGTGTCTCTTGACAAGCTGGCTGGTAAAGATCAGGATAAGCATTATATACATAAAAATTATCTATGAGGAATAGAAAATCCCCCTTCACCTCCCACACAAAAAGAAATTGCTAGTTTCAAGGCAGTTTATCTTCCCTTTAATACTTCCCGATAAGTTTTGGGATTCTCTGAATAAGGATCTCCACATTTGTAAATTCTGGTTCAGTAGGTAAATAACTTTTCAGTTAATACTGATAATCTAATTTGTTGTTAACCCTCTTGGTATTTTGGGGTTAGAAATTGAATAGGTGAAAATCTTTTTTATGTTGCCTTTGGTGGATGAGAATCCCACATTGATAGGATGTATTATCATATGTCCAAATTCTAATCGTGTCCTTAATCATATGATGAACAAGGATTAAAATAATGAACCAACCTTAAGTGTAGTTACAAGTTGATTGCTAGATTTGTCCTGCCTTCGTATTTCCTTCTTAATTACTATGTGAAAATTTCAGAACTTGGAGTGCTTAGCTGGAGACTTGATGCTGACAATTATGAGACTGATGAGGAGTTGAAGAAAATTCGGGAAGATCGTGGATATTCATACATTGTATGTTAAAGTTACAAAACTGAGACCTTTCATCAATATATGGATACAAGTTTGTCCCTTTTTTATTATTTATGAGTACTGAAGTTTTATGGGTTCTTCAGGATTTCTGTGAAGTTTGCCCTGAGAAACTACCGAATTACGAGGAGAAAATCAAGAACTTTTTTGAAGAACACCTGCACACTGATGAGGAGATCCGCTACGCTGTTGCAGGAAGTGGTACGATTGCAGTTTATTGATTGGATTTTGCTATTCCACCTTCCTACTACTGTTGCTAAGTAAATACTTCTGGGGTGTAGGTTATTTTGATGTCCGCGATGTGAATGAGAGCTGGATTCGTGTCTGGGTAAAGAAAGGTGGAATGATTGTTCTTCCTGCTGGAATCTATCACCGATTCACGCTTGATTCAAGCAACTACATTAAGGTACTTCCCAAAAGCATACATGAAAATATGTAGTTACTGCTGTAACATTTTCATCGTTGCCTCCTTTGGAGACACGTTTTTGGCACTTGTGCTCGATTGCACTTCTTGCACGGTATATTTGATTAGAGTAATGGTTTGTGTAGGCAATGCGTCTCTTTGTTGGTGACCCAATTTGGACTCCATACAATCGTCCACATGATCATCTCCCTGCAAGGTTTATCTCTAGACCCTCGCTATACTATCTAGTCACTTGTTTTAGTTGGATAACCAGATACGATCTTTGAGCGTGGAAACTAATGAACTTCTTTTTACATGCAGGCAAGAATATGTTGAGACGTTTGTTCACACAGATGGCGCTGGCCGTGCTGTTAATGCTGCTGCTTAAATCAGCTATAGGCGAAGAACTTGAAATCTTACTAGATTGTAATAAATATTACCATATGGTGGCTTTGCTGTTCTTGATGTATGCCTTACTCTGCATGTTGAATGTTGTATCCTGGCACTGAATAAATCCCCCCTATGGGAGATTGAATGTTTATATGCAAGTGGAATTTATTATGTGATTTTAGGTACTTTGTTCTTGTCAAGTGGTCCAATCTATCCTAATTATGTTTGTAATTTAGTTGCAATTTCTTTTTTGTTGGTTGTATGTGTTTGGTATGGAGGAAAATAATTTTTTCATGTTCGATTGGCCAATTTTTTTAATTTTTTTTTATTTTAAGGAAAACTAGTTTCTTAACGTAGTAGGGAAAATAAGTTTCACAACAACATTCCTTCCATTTTGCTTGTGACATTACAATCCTCTAACACATTTTATCTTCACTCTACCTCATGTAGTCCATTCCCACTACCCCTATGTAATTATATACAAATATTTGTAGGATATATATTTTGCCTACGCAATTTTCTAAAATTTTACTTAAATACGCAATTTATTTTATCATATTTTCTAAAATTTCCTACTATTTGAAAAGGGTAAAAAACTTAAGTATATAAGTACCTAAATAACTCATATATAACAATAGTTTGACTTTTCACCTACATAAGAATAGTATTTTTACAAAACAAAATAAAATAAAAATCGTAAATTAAAAAAAGAACAATCCACGTTCCAATATTAAATAAAACTTCATTCCTTAATTTCCTTATTTACCTTCCACAAATCTCTCAACAATTAATTAATACTTCTCTCTCGTAACCTTAAACTAGTATTGTAACCAAAATGACACCTCAAAATTCGCTGGGGATGAAATCTCAGAGAATTTGAATGAACCCAGTTGTGAAAATGTCATTGATGAACAGTGGCAGACCCAGAATTTTCGTTCAGGGGTTTTGAAAAATAAAAGTATAAACGTGTAAATAAGCCAACAAAACAAAATTTTAAGGAAGTAGTAGTATATAGTTTTAGTGGCGGATCCTTAAATTTTTTTGGGTTTAAAACCACACTTTTAGCATGTTTTATAAAATAAAAAACGTGAAAAAAGGAACTGAAACTTTTTTTTTAAAAAAAAAAACTGAAACTAAGAAAGAAAAAAACAAAATGCTAACAAAGGGATGTGAACCCTCGACATGGAGCTTAATTTTAAGGGGACCTGCCACTGGGCTATAAGTTTCTCTTTGTCATTGAGGGAGTTCAAAATATATATATCCACATAAATACATAAAATTTACCCTATATATATACATGTAATTTTTTGCCGAACCCCCTGGAACCCATGTGGGTCCGCTCCTGTTGATGAACTTGAGGTCATGATCAATGATCTAGGTTACCGCAATAAAATAAATGTTAATAACCTATTGAATTGGTGAAAATGATATATGTTCAGAAGTCGAGAGTTTAGAAGAAATTGTGGATAGCACTGAAAAAACCAATATTGATGATAAAGTTGAAGATGATACAATACCTGACATTTTTTAAAAAGTAAATAACTAAAGAGAGGGTTATTAGTTTCAAGAGCATAAATGAGCCAAAAAAGTTAATGGAAGGATATTTTTAGACCAAAAATATGAATATAAGGGAATTTTTAGACCAAAAAATAAATGAAGTATATTTTTAGACCTTTTTGAAATTAACGGGTCTACGTACACCCGCCCGTTTCCGCCTCTGTTGATATATATAGTACTCTTCCACAACTCATGAGCCAATTCTAATTACCATCTGTCCAGCAACAACACTTCATTAGTGTATTTAGTTTCTCCTACCTATATTTATTGTATGAATACACGAAGACAATTTTATTATGAATTTAATTATTATACCCTCAACAATTTATGTAAAAGATTTTTTATATTATTATCTCACTTAAAAGATAACGATAGGTAATAATTAATGTCAAATTACAAAAATTCCTTAAAATTTGAAGATTTCGGACACATTACCCCACCTTCCGATACATCGTGTTCTGGTTTCGGATACATCACTCAACATTCGATACGTCGCTTTTTAATACATTACCTTTGTTGATATATACAAGACACATGTCTGATGTCTCAACACATTACATATGTTGATACAAGACACACATGTCACGACACATTACGTCTAGGGGTGGTAATTTCAACCCATATTAATGAAATGAGTCCATTTTGCGCATATTTAATGACTTGGATCACTTATATTTTAATTGGTTAAATATGAGCTTCAAGTTATTTTAAGAGTCTCTACAAATATGGTCAAAATGGGTTAAATATGGATATTCATATTGATCCATAATAGATCACTTAGTTTTCACTTCCACTTAAAATTCTTAATTGTGCTAAGAAATAAAAAAATTAATATTAATTTTCAAAAATTCAATTAATTTTCAAACTTAATTGAAAAAACATATTTTTTTGTTTATTTTTGGAAAACAAAAAAATTTAGGGGTAGCTTGGTGGAAGGGGGTGCCCTGGGGAGTGGGAGGTGTCAGGGGAGGGGGTAAATTTATTTATTTTTTGAAAAAACAGATTTTATTTTATTTTTGAAAAACAAAAAAATTTAGGGGTTGGTTGGTGGAAGGTGGGGGTGGGGGGTAAAAAAAAAATTTGTTTTGAAAAAATATATATATATTTTTTTTGGAAAACAAAAATATTTAGGGGTCGGTTGGTGGAAGGTGGGGGGGGAAGGGTTGAGGGTGCCCGGGGGACAGATTGTAATCCAAACCATTTTTGCTCAATCCATATTCAATCCATCCAAATCCGATCCAATCCAATCATTTGTCACCCCTAATTACGTCCTAATACATCAGATAAGGACTCATTCGGAATAATCAAAAGATTTTTTAATACCTCTCCTTTATTGTTTCGGCATGGTTAGTAAACTTACCAATAAGGTGGTCACCAAAAAGCTAACCAGTTTTTGATATTTACATTGAAGTTTAATTAATCTCGATTCACATTGAGTAGATTTATTTGAGATAATATTTCTTACTAATAATTTTTTCATATATTCAGAACTCAATTGAAATATTTTATTAAAAAAATAATAATTTCATTCACTATCGTAAACTAGACAAGTTAGGTTGTTGACCGGCAAGTACGAAGACTGCGTGCTTGGCAACCACCACTCAGTTCCCCAATCTTTTTCTTATCTTATAATAAAATAAATAACTTCTCTCTCCCATCCTTTTTTTTTTTTCCTATAAGAAGTATCTGTTTTTTTTCTTCTAGATAAGCTCATTTAGCACTCCACTTTTGGTAAGATTTTCCTCTTATACAATTTTTTTTTATATTAGTCTTATCTATTTAATAATTAATACTGAATTATGAGATTACACTAGTGTTTCTATGTAGTATTTTTAAGGTACTATTGTTTTAAAAAATATATATATTGTAGGAAATTAACCAAATCCCCCCCCCCCCCCCCAAATTTAGGGATTGATTGAATTTGAATTCGTGTAATTGTAGAGTGCATTTTTAGAGACAATGCTCCTAACAAACTTGTCTTATTTATTCTAAAGAGCTAGAATTTAAGATTTTTAATTAACGGAATAACGATGAAGGGATCTTAATCACACCATTGTTCACATTACTTATTATATCATATAATTTATCTTATTTAAGATTATAAAATCTCACTTTTTATAAGGATAATTGTAGATATCTTTTAAATGATTTTGATAGTGTATTATATATAAAAAAGAATTAATAATATATATATAATCGAGAATGATGACCTTTTTTTTTTCTTCTTAGAATCTTTGAGGACTTTATATTAAATCAATGGCAGAAAAAAGTGGACATGGCACTATTCTGCGAAGTGAAGCCCTCAAGAAGGTCAGTTTCCTACTCTCTCGCAATTTCGCCCGCCTCTCTCTATATTTTATAAAATACTGCAAAACATAGACATTATTCTTTCGATTGTATCAATTGTGCAAAGCCAAAAAAAGGAGGAAAGTACTCATATCAAATGTAATTTTCTATTTATGTATCACGAATGAATATAAGATTAAATGAATATAAGTGATACAACTTGTATCAATTGTATTCGTTGATACAATCTGAATTCGTTGAATATAGTTTGTATCTATAGCATCTCTCCTCTCTCACCCACTCCACCTCTAGTTGTGCTCTTTCTCAATAATCTTGTTCGCCTCTCTCCTCTGACTATGAATGATAAATACCCCAACTATATAGATTTCTAATTAGTTTGCTCTAAACATTAGTCATTTATGAAATTTTCCCTTATTTATTTAAAAATCCATTTTGACCCGATTCATATTGATCCAAACAAACTTTGAGCAGGTTAGGTTTTTAGCCCATTTATTAACTTAGCCTGTTGGACCTTCTAAATTTGACTCATTACATTCGTTTATCACCTCTATAAATATAGCTATAATATAACTAAATTTCGAGGAAATGAGATCTTTTGACCATTTAATTTACAAATTAAATGGATAAAAATGGTTTTTTCTGATTTCATTAGGTGTAAAAATGAAGATATCTCGTAAACAAGCGCAAAATTTAAAAAAGAAAATATAAATAGCCTATAAAACCAATGTTATCCTGATTTTCTAACATGTTATTTTTTCACATTTGATTGCAGTATATTTTGGAAACCAGTGTTTATCCAAGAGAGCATGAGCAACTAAAAGAACTCAGACAAGCCTCATTCGATAAGTATAAAATAGTGTAAGTCCCAATTTTTGGATCTTATTAACTCCATGGAATGTTTGCATTATGAATTTAATTTTTTTTGCATTAAAGGGTATAAAAATATTTTATATGCATGACTAAACTTATAAAGTAATTATAGGTAATTTTCAGGACAAACAATAAGTAATAATTTAATGAAGAAGTCGCACATCGATGGTGAAGGGAATAAGTAGTTTTTTAATATGGCTTGAATAATTTTAATCTTTTGAACTAGCTTTTAGGTTGAATTATACCTATGATACATTTCTTAATTTTAACGCTTATAGGCTATAGATAACTTTGATGATTAGTGTAAAAAAAAAATTATTGTAGGGGCAGACCCACCCTTAGTCAGGGGTGTCTTCGAAAAATTATATTGGTATAGAAGTCAACTTTTGATTTAATAAATATATATATATAAGTATTAACACCTCTTAACACAAGTTAAAGATTTAGTCCAGTGGTTAGGGGTTGT